ACTGTTGAGAATCACAATGTTAAAAAAAAAAAAAAAAAAAATCCATGAATCCACATGGTAGGATTTGTAAAGAATTTATTCGTAAATCAGGGTGGAAAATAAGTATTTGGTCAATAACAAAAATACAACTCAATACTTTGTAACATAACCTTTGTTGGCAATAACAGAGGTCAAACGTTTACTATAGGTCTTTACCAGGTTTGCACACACAGTAGCTGGTATTTTGGCCCATTCCTCCATGCAGATCTTCTCGAGAGCAGTGATGTTTTGGGGCTGTCGCCGAGCAACACGGACTTTCAACTCCCGCCACAGATTTTCTATGGGGTTGAGGTCTGGAGACTGGCTAGGCCACTCCAGGACTTTCAAATGCTTCTTACGGAGCCACTCCTTTGTTGCCCGGGCGGTGTGTTTTGGATCATTGTCATGTTGGAAGACCCAGCCTCGTTTCATCTTCAAAGTTCTCACTGATGGAAGAGGTTTTGGCTCAAAATCTCACGATACATGGCCCCATTCATTCTGTCCTTAACACGGATCAGTCGTCCTGTCCCCTTGGCAGAAAAACAGCCCCATAGCATGATGTTTCCACCCCCATGCTTCACAGTAGGTATGGTGTTCTTGGGATGCAACTCAGTATTCTTCTTCCTCCAAACACGACGAGTTGAGTTTATACCAAAAAGTTCTACTTTGGTTTCATCTGACCACATGACATTCTCCCAATCCTCTGCTGTATCATCCATGTGCTCTCTGGCAAACTTCAGACGGGCCTGGACATGCACTGGCTTCAGCAGCGGAACACGTCTGGCACTGCGGGATTTGATTCCCTGCCGTTGTAGTGTGTTACTGATGGTGACCTTTGTTACTTTGGTCCCAGCTCTCTGCAGGTCATTCACCAGGTCCCCCCGTGTGGTTCTGGGATCTTTGCTCACCGTTCTCATGATCATTTTGACCCCACGGGATGAGATCTTGCGTGGAGCCCCAGATCGAGGGAGATTATCAGTGGTCTTGTATGTCTTCCATTTTCTGATGATTGCTCCCACAGTTGATTTTTTCACACCAAGCTGCTTGCCTATTGTAGATTCACTCTTCCCAGTCTGGTGCAGGTCTACAATACTTTTCCTGGTGTCCTTCGAAAGCTCTTTGGTCTTGGCCATGGCGGCGTTTGGAGTCTGACTGTTTGAGGCTGTGGACAGGTGTCTTTTATACAGATGATGAGTTCAAACAGGTGCCATTCATACAGGTAACGAGTGGGGGACAGAAAAGCTTCTTACAGAAGACGTTACAGGTCTGTGAGAGCCAGAGATTTTCCATGTTTGAGGTGACTCAAATACTTATTTTCCACCCTGATTTACGAATAAATTCTTTACAAATCCTACCATGTGAGATTCATGGATTTTTTTTTCACATTCTGTCTCTCACAGTTGAAGTGTACCTCTGGTGCAAATTACTGACCTCTGTCATCATTTTAAGTGGGGGAACTTGCACAATCGGTGGCTGACTAAATACTTTTTTGCCCCACTGTATACACTTTATTATTATTTCTACCAGTGACCTGTGTTGTTTTTGGTTTTTTTGTTGTTTTTTTTTAAAAGGGGTGTGGGTGGGGTGTTCAACTGCATTTTGTGTGATGTTAGTTACTGCACTAAACACCAATAACTGAAGTGTTTACCACTTTTAAATAGATTGCAAAGGATTTGATGCTTACATTATGTTAATTAAAAAAATGTATATTGTCATTGAATTGTAAATAATTCATTTGAATTAAATACAATTGCTTTAACTTCCAGGGTAAAAATAATCGCACCCCCTCTGTGAGCAAGCGCTTGGTAAATGGCGGGAATGACGAATCCCCTTTTAACAGGAAGAGACCTCTGTCAGGCGCAGCTGGTTCTCAACAAAAAACTATTATATCGTGCAAAAATTTTCCACAGTAATAACATGGTGCTAACACGGAAATTGCCATGGTTTTTAACAGGGTAACTACTTATTTATACGAAAATGTCATTTAATACCGTTTTCTTGCTGCTTAAGGCTCCAATATAAGAATATCAAGGAGCAACAAAATGCTTCCTGTATAACATCCACAGAACCTCTGCTCTTAAAGACAGCTATGGTCATTAAATGGCCTGCACTCAGTATCCTGTCCATGTTTGCATGTGACCATAGACTATATATAAAAAGATGGTCACGCATGGGTTTTGGACTCTTTGAAACTTTGAAATGATGAGGCGCTAATGTTGCACACTGTTGGTGCTGTATGGGAGCCGACTACGCACTGAGGCAAGGCACCTGGAACCAAACATAAAATTAACATCCTTTGCAGTTCAGCAGAAGTCTAGGGGCTACTAGAGGCAAAGCAGAGCACTTTTATATATTGACAAGTTAAAAAACAACAACAACCTGTAATGTAAACACTGCTGCAGTGTGTGTATTTATTTATTTTTTAGTATTCAGGTGTGGGGGTGGTATGCCCCCATAGCACAATGTCACATTTCATTGCCAGAGCTCCAGGAGCCAACTCGGTGCTTTTAAACCTTTTTCAGCATATTAAAGAGAAGACTCGGCTCGTGTGGGAAGTGGAGCTAAAATGTATACAGCTGAACTGCAGAGATAGTTTTTGTTGTTAAATTGAAAGGACAGCTGTGAACTGAATGCACAAACATCACCGTTTTTTGTTGTTGTGTGTCTCTCCAGCACGGAGCTTCTCAGGAGGATTTCATTCGGGGCAGCCGGGAGCAGAACATTCGGGATGTTGTGTATGACATCGCCAGTCAGGCTCACGTGCACCTGCAACATGTATGTACTTCACCTACACAATAAGGTCTACATTGCATGCACATGCACATGGCATATTACTGTATAGATGTTTCACATGGCAAAAACATGTTCTTTTTAGTGCTACTTTTATATGTGATTCACTAGTTTATGAAACTTGGCTTCTGGGATTTACATATGCATCGACATGTACTCAGTTGGTGCAGGCTTTTGTCCAAAGTAAGGGACAACAGATCAAAGAAAAGCTTTGAGAATAATTAACTCAACACTCAGCACGATATCCCATTTGAAACAAGTGCAACAAGCCTGCAAGTGTATGAAACAACATAAAGTGCATAGCAAATGACCTTTTTTCATTTTCTCCTGAGAGGTAAGGTAGGAGAGCAAGAGAGCACATTAGATGAGTAAGCACCCTTGTGTGGTTTTTGAAGTTTGAGTGGGAGTTTGAGGGCTAGTTGTTGCTCGTTTGAGAATATGGTACCATAGGGGAAGCCTGAACAACAGAATTTGAATATTTCTCATCATCCAGCCACTCTGTGACTGCCTTGCTTTTGCTTAAAGCTCATTGGCACTTATTGTTAATTTCAGGAACAGTTCACGAAAATAAACAAAAACAGGAGGCCTAATTTCCTCCTGTTTTTTCCTCCTCTTTAGATACATAGGCCTAAAAAGAGGTCAGTGACCCCCTCGGAATCTCTGGTGACTAGAAAAATGTGTATTTCCTGACGGGTTGATAGGTAGTTGCTGCAGGTGAAATCAGTCACAAAGAGGGCTTTAAACCAAAAACAACCTCGTGAATGCTTTGATTGCTAGTAGGTTGCTGATAGTTTGCATGAAAGACACCAACTTGTCTGCAAACATTTTCCAACTATGGAGAAAGCAGTAGTGAAACCCGAGTAAGTTCGAAGCAGTCGGGAAATGGAGACTATCTCCTTTCAAAATAAAAGTTGCGCTTTTTAATACATAACTATTGCGGTAGTAAAGGCAACACAGTTTCAGTACCAGTTAGCAAGTAGTTGGCAGTTGTTTGCATGCAAGATGCTAAGGGAAGATGCTAACTTGCACACGAGTTAGCATCTTCCCTGCAGAATACAGGCAACTACAGCAATGTGATCGGCATATATCAGTTTGCGACCAATTTCATATAGTAACTGGAACCATGAGTGTATATTTTATATACATTCATGTATATAAAATTACACTTTTTTCCCTAGCAACCCATTGAATGTCGGTGGGTCTGTAACCGTGTGTGACTGGGGCTTAAAACAGCTGACCACAGTAGCTTTTAGAAATATTCTAATATTCCGCAGTTACAAAGTGTATTTTAAGTTGCATACTAAAAACATTTGGATCTTTCACAAACAAATTCCACACAACATATGCACGGTTATGTCGGCCCTTTGAACTCCAAACTGTGTTTAACTTCAAACAAAAACAACATAAAATTTGTTGGTCTTTACCTCTGCTATTGTGTTGCTCTTCCTCTAATTTGTCAGTGTTGTCCAGTATGTTGCCCTAATGAGTACTGAATATTTTCAGGTGACAAATCGACATCGAAGTACAGTTCAATTGAGTTACAGTTAAAAAGAGAGATGGATATTTTTTTCATATGTTCAGTCAGCACTGCACATGAATATGTATGCTGGATTGCATTCTTATAAACTACATGTTTGTGTTCACCCAGTGCAAATGTAAGCTTACTTTGGATAATAGTGGTGCTCAGGGGAAATAATCAGGCTTTGTAAACCTGTTAGTGGGAGACACTCGTCTTTCAGTGCGGTATTTCTACAGTATAGAACATAACCAGGCTGATCTGTTAACACACTCAGGATTTCCACAAAGGCCTTGAATTCAGCAGCAGCATCACATCGAGGCTGGCCAAGCTCACAACATATATTTTTGCATAATGCCTCTGCAGCACCTGTTGACTCGTTTCAGAGACGAGATGAAGTAAAATTCTCCTCCGCATTACTGTGTTTTATAACACTCTTGAACACCTCTTAATGCACTCAAAACAGCATGAACAAAAAGCTGTGCTATAATGTAAATGAACACCAGTGACACATAATGCTTTGACATGCTGTGATGTGCGTCTTGCACATTGAAAATGCCCTGGAAATGTCTTCAGTTTGAGTATTGTCTAACTAATGTAGCTCTAATTAGTTGGGAGCTAATTAGTTGGGAGATTTATTAACCTCCACTTACATGCCTCATTGATTTTTGTACTTTAGGAGGCTTTTTCATTAAGTGGCTTCCCAAGCATTCATCAGCAGTTACTTGTTTTAATTTGAGCCTTTTTTATACCAGTTAGGAGTGTCGCCAACAGTTAAAGGACGTGTGATATTAAAGTGTAAACAATAAAATGTAAATTATTTCTCTGCCATGAATAGATGTAATGTTATTTATTTTCCTATTGTGGCTATAGCCATTAAAGAGCCAGTTTACACAAATTATGCAAGTAATGACCTCTTTGTGTGTGTGGTATGTTTACATATGTTTGTGGGGATCAAGTGCCCCCATTTTGAAGGCATTTTTAAGAGTCAAAATGTGGTTTTAGTGTCAGGACTACAATAAGTTAGGATTACGCGTTCATTTTTGATGGTAAGCGGCTAGGGAAAGCATTATGTCAATAAGATACCCCCACAAAAATATGAGTGTGTGTGTGTGTGTGTGTGTGTGTGTGTGTGGGTTTTTTTGGGGGGTTTTTTTGTTTGTTTTTTTGTTTTTTTTGTGTGTGTTTTTTTTATAATTAAAATAAATGCATATTTAAAATGATTAAAACTGGAAATTTTAATTCAGACAAAATGTTACATTTAATTATCATAAAGTCAGTTTTTCTAAATGACTTCTAATGTTTGTTTGTTTTTTGTTTTTTGTTTTTTTTTAATTCACAGTGTGCTTAAAGTCACATTTGTCTTTTCTACAGACTCCTTTCTAGGTTTAAAAGAAGTGGTACTCTTCCTAGACTGTTGGTCATTGAAACAAGATTAATCCGTCCTTGATGTGTTTCTTTTCAAGACTGACTTCTCAATGGGTCTTAGTTCTTATTTGCAGTACTTGTGTAGCAACACCAGTGATAGGAACACTTACTGTGAGCCAGATGAACAACTACATTGTTTTTTGGTTTTAAAATCTCTTTAATGACACTTTAAATTAAATATAAGACCAAACTTGAATCAAAAATTAATTCATTAAAAGGATAAAAAAAACAAACTATTCTCTTTACAAGTCAATATTTTTATATAATCTCAAAATTAACATTTAGGAATAATTTAAAAAAATGTTTGGGTTTAAACATGCTGTGCATTTGTTATGGTGTTCTGTATTTTCATATTACTATTTCTTTGAGTTACAAGTAAGTTGGCTAGTAAGGTCTCACACTTCATCACCGTATTCTAAGCCTTGCTGGATCTAAGTGTCAGGTACTTTCCTGTATTAAGATGTTTTTAAGCTTGACCTGCAGCTTTTAAGTTAGCCAGTGTTGCTTATCTGCTTATTGTTACTGTTAAGAATCAACTGCATGAAAATTGGGTAGCCCAAGATGGAGCAATAAGTCTAACCAAACTACTTACAAATTGATTTGAAATTCAGGGAGATTTGATTAAGTGTGGAAAAAGTATTCAGCCTCCCTAAACGCCCAGTAGGAGTCATGCTGCTCTGCAAGAACATTGATGACACGTCAAAGCATAAGATAGAACTAGTCGCCATCGCTTTTGACTTCCACTTGTCCCGATCAAATTTTTAAAAGATACACTGCATACCATCGATATGGTGTCTGAGCTGACAAGCCACCCTCCCAAGAAACCATGAAAAACAAATTACCACCAAAATAATGCATACATGTTTCATCTTTGCTCATTGTAAGAGTCTCTACTGTCATTCTTGGTTACTGTGTAGTATACCACAAACTTCATTCATCTAAATCGAATATGTCGGATTTATTTTTGAGAATTAAAGAGAAGCCAATAACCAGGGCGAAAATCGCAGAAGTCTAGCTCATAAAAAAGTGTTTTGATTGACGTCTCAGTGCAGCAAGTGTAGTTTATGAGCTGCCAGTGTGTCAATATGTTCACTTGCTCCTTTGTATAACAAGAGAAGCACAAAAATGTGTAAGTTGTGTCCATGAGAGAACAAAAAAAAGACCTGAGTTCTTCACTGTAACCAGTCCGTCCCACAGCTTCAGGTATGTGCTGTGTGACGGCAGACAAACATGAGATGTAACCGTTTCCTGTTGTTTCTGTGTGGGTGAACGGTCTTTAGAAAAGCAACCCTAAAAGGCCGGTGTGGGCGCGTTTTAAAATATTTGGTGTGGGTGAGTGTAGATAATTTTTTTTTCTTTCCATTTAATTTCTGTTTATTGTGCTCTCTCCTTCAGGCACAATCCTTTAGCCACAATGTTCCAGCAGCTGCCACTCCAGCCTTCCTCCCCACTGTAAGTCAAATAATGTGGTCATGGTTTTATTCTTTGACAATTTGATGCTGACATTCCTCTGTATGCCTTCTGAACTGCTTCGTATAAAATCGCTCTATATTTATTTTGGAGAAAAATTCATCTGAATGTCAAATATGCCAAAAAAAATGTCTTAAAGTGACTCAGAGCTTTAATTAACCTGCCATGAAAAGCTTTTAAGAACTGAGCCCATCAATTTATTCTAGTGGATTCCTCTTTTTGTTCAGACTACCAGAAAAACAGACTTCCACTGAGGCCAAGGCAAAGCGATTTTTCAGGCTTCTGTTGCACCCAAACATATTATCCTCATCACTTCTTATCAAGAGTTAAATTGACTTTTCAAACATTCCTTTAGGCTTGAAAATTACGGCTCTATATCTGTAAGATTTATTTGGGGGGGCTAAAATAAGATAATGAAATTGGAAATCCACATCACCTCTCTTATCCAGAATATTAACAGCAGTGTTCAGTGCAGTTCAGTCAGTGCACCTCCAACACCTCCAGCACCATGACCTCAATTATGGACATAAAGTTGTATTTAGTTGAGCTTCTGCATTGGATTACATTATATTTCCCAGTTGATTTCCCACTTTTCTGTCTTTAGGACAGATCACATATGGAGGTTTAAAAATGTTTAGAAGTCTTGCTTATTAACTAAAAATGAATGCAAGTCATTGTTTGTAAGAAGCAATCGCAGTTTAAGCCTTTTGACAAACGAGGATCCGCAGAGAGGCGATAGATCACAGAACTGATTATTCTGTGCAGCCATGATGTAAGTTGCGAGAATTTATTTATTTATTTTTAAAAAAGCGTGATGGCGTTCTGCTTAAAGACGAAAACATTTAAAATTAGGGCACAAAGATATGTCTCTCTTTAGTTTTCCAGCTGTTGCATGCGATATCTCTGGAAGCTCAACTTTTAATTTGGGAAAAGCCTAAACTTTTTAAAATTTGCATATTTTTAAGATCTGTTAACTTTTATGTAACGCTACATTAGAAATCGTGGCGATTAAGAAAACATATTATTCAGTGGGAGAAGAAACCACATAAACGGTAAACCCACTGTGCCAATGAGCTGCCGTGCCCAAAGATGAGTTTGAGAAAGCTTGATTTTAACTGTGACTGCACAGTTAAACCAGATCTGCAGGTACAACATTATGACTACTGACAGGTGAAGTGAATGACACTGATCATCTCTTTCAAGTGAACATTTTGTCCTGAACGTTGATGTGTTAGAAGCAGGAATATATGGGTAAGTGTAAGGATTTGAGCAAATTTGGCAAGGGCCAAATTGTGCTGGCTAGACGGCTGGGTCAGAGTATCTCGAAAACTGTTGCTCTTGTGGGGTCTTCCCAGTGTGCATATCAGTATCTTCCAAAACTGGTCCCAGGAAGAAGGAGTGGTGAACCAGTGACAGTCCCATTGATGAGGGAGGGAACCAAAGCAGGTCTGATCCAATAGACGAGCTACAGTAGCTCAAATTACATAAATAGTAAATGTTAGCTCTGATAGAAAGGTGTCAGAGTACATATTGCATCGCAGTGTTATTGCGTGTTGAGCTGCATAGCTGCAGACCAGTCAGGGTGCCCATGCTGACCCCCCATCCTTCACTGAAAGCACCAACCCTTTCATAGAAACTGTATTCCCTGATGGCTTTGGCCTCTGTCAGCAGGATAATGCATCCAGCACAACTATGAGTTTCAGGTGTTAGGACTTGGTCTCCTAGATCCCCAAATCTCAATCCAATCGAGCATCTCTGGGATATAATGGACAAACAAATGCCAGATACCACAGCACACCTTCAGGGGTGAAGAGGAGTCCATGCCTCACCGGGTCAGGGCTATGTTTTGGCAGCAGAAGGGGAACTAACATAGTATTAAGCAGGTGGTTCTAATGTTATGCCTGATCATTGTATACCATATACAAGAAAGAGTGAAAACAACCCTTCAGATTGGCTGTCATTTGGGGAAAACAACAAATGGGGGTTACATCTGGCCACTGGGCCTGGTAGTGAGCAATCATTGCTTATGGCCAAAAAACTCAGTTTAGGTCATTTTAGCTGAATGTCCTTTCTCAAGATGCCTCAGGATGTTACTCATCATTTGCAGTTTGAGCGAGGAGGAAAATTGATGGCACACAATGTTAAAAACAAAAACATGAGCATGCTCATCGTTGCACTGCTGACCTTATTTGTTGCCTCTGGACTTGGGCACTGGACTCTTCATCAAAACACTATTTGGACAGTGACTTGTAGCTACACAGGCAGCTCTTATCTCCAGCAGTGATCTTCAGCATGAAAGCTGGGTCAGTTTGACACAGAAGTTGATAGATAAAATTTGAGGTCAATGTTTGAATCACAGATTCGGCGTGATTCAAATATTCCAATGATTCAAGTCCCGCAAGGTTTTAATCACAGATGGTAGTTTAGAAATTCACTTTTAGAACAGACAAGTATGCAACAAAGTGTTTTCCTCATGACGCAGATAGACGTTGTAGTCAAAGTTGAGTGTCCACAAGAAAGACTGTGATTAAGCTGCCTGCCTTTTTGTTTTTGTTGTTTTTTTTTTTTAAAGTGTTATGTGTTTATGTGTGGAGTCCTGTGCTGTGTGTGTTTTCAAAGAGGTGAAGAAGGGTTTTGATCCTTGTTATTTGTAGTCTCTCTCCAAAAAAATGAATAGCTTGAAAAAGTTCATTTTAATTTAAAAAGTAAACTGTCAAATTCTATATTTATGACATGTAAAGTGAAAACTTCAAGCCTTTTTGTTAGAACTATTTAAACAGTGCGAATACACACAACCACAATCACAGGGATGACACTGACCTGACAGTTGTCCAGATGACAATCATCAGCATCTTTCACAACGAGGGTAAGTCACAGAAAGTTCTGGAAAGGCTGGCTTCTCAAGTGCTGTATGAAAGCAAGGTAATGGAAAATCGACTGGAAAGTAAAACTTTGTCAGAAACACAGGGAAGGGTGCACAAGCAACATGGATCACTTCATCCTTGAGAGGATTGTCAAGAAAAGTCAATACCAGCTTTACAAGAAATGGACTGAGGCTGGTGTCGGTGCATCAAGGGCCACCATGCTTCAGGAAAGAAGCCACAACTGTCACATTGCTATTATCGGCCCACTCCTGAATGAGAGAAGACAGATGTGTCATACCTGGGCTAAGGAGAAGAACTACTGGACTCGTGCTCAATGGTCCAAAGTAGCCATCTACCAGGAGATTCTAGACCACTTCATGCTTTCATCTGCTGAAAAGCTTTATGAGGATGCAAAGTCCTTTTCCAGCAGAAAAGTCAAAAATACTACCAAAGGGTTTGCTAAGCATGCGATTACTGTGCTTCAGTGTTCCAGCCAACTCTCCTGACATCAATCCAATAGAACATTTAAGGAAGATGAGAAACGGCTGAAACTGATATCATCAAGTCAAGCTGGGCTTCAGTAACAGATCAATAATAACTTAAGTTGATCACCTCCATGACTCATCACTGCAGTAATTTGTGATAAAGGAGCCTCAACCAATTTTTTTTTAAAAGCTTGAGGTGTTTCACTTTTTGTGTTGTGGATATAGAAGATGTAAAAGTTGACCTTTTTCACATAAATTATTTAAAAAAAAAAAAAAAAAATTTCACAGTCGAGTTAGTTGAGATGCACTAGTACTCTAGCGTACTGAATTTAAAGTAATACGTGTTTGGTACCATGAGAATGAAGCACAATATGATTAATCAAAGCAATCTGCTTTATTGTCCTCCAAATATGTTAGACTGTTGCCTACAAAAAACTAACAACTTATGGAATCAACACCTGTTTTTAATTATTGATGTCATTATGTTGCTGCTACCTGTGTAAAATCTGAACAATACATCATCAAATATCTGCCAACTCAGGATGTATCTTGTGTTTTCAGCGTAGATGTATTCAGATGAAAATGTAAAGATCTTGCACTAAGTGCTGTGTAAGCAAACTGCAGCTCATCTCTTTGGAGATGAAATGGCATCATTATATGACTAAAGCTGAATAAAAAAAAATAAAAAAAAAAGTTTCTAAAATTTTATTAACAGCATTACTAAAGTGTGAGTACCTGGAAATTTTTGCTCTACAACACTGAAGTGATGTAATTCACTGAAGGGTTAGTCAATACTTCCCAGTAGCTAAAAATGCAGCACTGCTTTTATCTCACAAGTGGTTCCTAAAAGGAATACGCCGTTTTAAGCTGACTATTTATACCTGCACGCAGAAGCTGTTTTCTGATTGTAAAACAATGATTTCAGATGATAATGATGCTGATGTACTGACCTGCATCTACTACAGCACAAAGCTGAAAAGCTCTCCAACTCTGCAGTTTGCAGCAAAAATCACTCTGCACTCCTGAGTGTAGATTATGATGTTCACGCTGCGGTGGACTTGTATTATTTGTCCATATGCATGTGCTTGATACTTTTCCAGCTCAGTGTTCTTGCCCGCACAAGAAAGCCGGCACAGACACTCACGTTTCTCACCGCGCCGACGATTTGATTTAAATGAACGGCAGGCTCGGATGAGTCATGTGAAACAGCAGGGTAAAAACAGAGTAGTCCTAGTGAAGCCTGAGGGACATGAAACGCACAAACCGCCGCTTAGGTTCTTTTATATTAACACATGAGTAGTTTATTTAAACCTTACAGTTGAGAGGGTACCTTTTTAGAGCTGAGGACAAATGCCATAGCAATATCAATGCAAAGTTCTTTATGACCTTGATCACTCAGATTTCTAAGAGAGCTAAAATGCTCTTATCTGATGTAGTCATGCAGATGGTTTTCAAATCATTTGGTGACATTTTGTTTGTTTTCCTACTTTAGTCAAGCTGCAATTTTGTCCTCTATACCCAAATATAAAACCATAAAAATAGCATTTTTAAGACTCAGTAGTGTACATCTGTGGCCATAGTCAATTTTTGGCTAGTTTCAGGTTTCTGACTCACCTCCATTTTGCTCAGTGACTCACAGGATATGGAGGGGCAAAAAAAAAAGACATGGCCTGTGGTGTATGTGTTTACTTATTTCTACTGCAATTGCAGTTAAAAACTTGTTCAAGTACCCTAACCAACAACTAAACCATGTTATGAAGGTCTGAGTCATATCCATATGAACAATACCTGTAGGAGGATGAGTCGGTGTTTACAGTGCAGCTTGTTAGGTCAAACCTGTTGAAGCCGAAACCAAACTCTCCTGTGATGTGTGCTTCAGGTGGTGTTGGAGGACTATCTTCACAGAGTGAGGAGGGTGGATTTTGATGTTTTCCACAAGAGTCTACAGAACAGAAATCCCCTTCTCCCAATCCAGCTGTACATCCGCTCCTGGAAGAAGACTTATTGACTTCATTTCTCTTCTTCCTTCAGACTTTTTAAGGACTGCTGCAGGAAATGAAGTGCAGGGGATTTATCTCACCACTACCACCAAAAAACCACAAACCATACCAGACCAAGTCTGTGGCTCCCACAACAGCTTATATCTTTGAAATATTTGTTTAATCCACAAGTTCACTGGAGGTGTCCTGCCATCCTGATCAGAAAATGCTTGTGTAATGTTTTATTCACAATGTATGAAAACTTTGATCAGATGTCTTCTCGTGGCTTACAGAAAAATCTAATTGCAAATTGGGTCAGTTGTTGTTGTTGTTGTTGTTGTTGTTGTTTTTTCACTCGTCGTTTCTGTAATAAACACAAACTTACAAGTTGAGACCTGTGGGATGTTAGAAGGCACCTCTGCCGAGCTGGACTTGTACGTTGTTTGTATTAACACTCTTCCTACAGTAAAATCTATTTCTATTTTTAGTCACACATAAAAATTTTTTACATCTATGTAGCTTTTTAGTGTTATTTCAAGGTGTCTATTTGATGAATACGACGCTGCTACTGTGCTGTTGTTGTTGACATGTTCACTGAAACATGAAACGCTGAGGTATGACTTCAAGCTTTAGCTTCTGAGATCTGAGAAAATGCTGAGTGATAAAACCGGAGCAGTCAGGTGGGTTGGAAACAAACCTCTAGGTGAGTATTTAATAAAAACACTTTGAAAAAAACTGTCTGCAGGTACTCTCAAACATTAGTGACCAACATCATGCCTCCCCAGGAACACAATACATGTAGCAGACGTGTTAATTCTGTTGTGAGCTGTGCTACCGATATGGTTTCTACTGTATGTGGAATTGACAGGAGCCTGAGGGACAGACCTCGGGACGGTTACATTAAATAAATAAATAAAAAACTGTGGAATATTTTTTTTTGTCCTTGTTTCCCTATGATTCTCTTGTCTCTTCTGCTCTTACAAATGCCGAGTGCTTTCTCATAGGAGCTGGGGTCTTCAACTTGCAGTATAAAGCTTGGGGTAACTGATGAATTGAAGCTATAAGTAATGCCTGCTTGACTACATTAACACGTGGATGTTTCTCAGTAAAAGTCTGCCAGATCAGATCAGACAATGTTCTCAAGAGCTTACATAGGAAACTGGGACTGTTATGGAGGGCCACACCAATAGGCTTATGAAGAGAGCAAAATAATATGAGCAAAATTAAGTTAAGCTTGTTGTTGTGGCCCTCCAGAACAGTCCTAGTTTATTCTTTGACAGTACAGCTGTGGACTCATCATCACATGAATGTCATGGTAATTTGGGGCTTTTAATTTTTTTTTTAACTGTTCTTTTCAGGCAAAATGATTGTACAACATAGTAAAAACAAGATTTGGGTGCACAAGCTTTGGCAGCATAAAATGATCTGTTTGACAGCTCTCACTAGATTCACCAACTTGGGAAGGTCTCTTCGAGCCATTTTTGAACAACTGCAGATTTAGAGTTTATCTGTTCAAACAAGTGCAAGTTTTTCAGATGAGTCACAACTTTGCCAAGGTTTCTGAAGAAAACCCAAACTGTCACCCTCAGATCAGAAATTGGTTAGGATGTTCAGAAAAAACCCAGTAATAGCAAAGGTGAAAGTGGTGGAGTTAACATCATGCGCTGGTGCTGTTTGCTGCCTTGGATGGAATAATGAAGAAGGAAGACTACTTCCAAATTCTTCAACTTCAAATGAAATCAACAGTTATATGGTTGGGACACCCACCAAGACAGTGATCCCAAACACATATCAAAACTATAATTTTGACCCTATGTGGATTAGAGAAAATCAGAAGTAATTCAAATTTGTTGTTTTTATGATTAGACAAGTTTTATAATGATTCCAGTATGGAGAAAGAACACTTCAAAAATCATTAAAAGCCCGAAATTACCATAACATTCATGTCCATGAAGCATGTGAGCATATGAAAACTTTTGACTTCAACTGTATGTTTCTTATTGTCAGTACCTTACCTACAAATACATTCACTCTTCTGCAACTGTGTCAGTTCAGCTTGCTGCAAAGGGACCTTTGACACACTAAACTCTTATACCAGCCTATAGTACATTAGACCCTTTTGTTAGCTCAAAGAGCCGTGTTTTAATGCTGTTGTTTGGCAGCTGTAATGTCAAAGCATCAGAGTTTCATATGGGCAGAGTGAGTATTCTGGTCATAGGTCACTTATAAAATCCCGAGCAGCTGTCAGCCGAACACACATCGGACCACAATTGATGAGATTGTAGCAGAAAAACTCCATTAAGCCGACTTCACACAGACCTTTCACCTTTTGTCATTTTTTTTATTTGATCATTTTTAAGTTAGATGAAAGTTTACTGCCAACAAGTCCTGTTGCTTTTACCGGCAAAAAGAAAGTAGACTGTGAGTCTTCTCACATTATGCTATATGTCACTAACTTAGGTGTCTTTATCCATCATTTGGGTACTGTTGATACTTTGTACCGCTGGTCTGTTCACAGCTTCCCACGTTGTCTCACTGTCTTGAGTACACTACAAACTACAAAAATACAACCTTATAAAGAATACAAGAAAAGCTGGGGAAAACTTTTGCAACTGTAGCAAATTCTGCAAAACTTTTATGCATTATTCTTGGGAGACAGTCTGAATTGTAATCCTGTTATTTTTGTCATTGCCAGTAATTTTGAAAACTTCCCATTTGTTTGATACAAGGGTTTTTAGGCTGCTTTCCTACCTTTAAATGCAGAATTGCTGAGGTAGGAGAGGACAATATGACTCAAAGCTTTCATATAGTTTTGTTCCTGGCTTCAGGAGGCCCATGGAGCCTCTCAAAGAATGGAGCCACATATAAGTACAGAAACTCAAAAGGTAATGAGACTGAAGATGCATACGTAGGAAGCAGGCAGTTCAAACCCGAAACATTTTATCTCTGAACAGCCCTGTGGAGAGCAGTCTGAAGTTTTCTACGGCACAATACAAAGGCGTACTCAGACAGGTTCCTCTGTCTTTGTGTGTTACAGTCACTGTATCAGCAGGTGTCTCACCTAAAATAAATCTAATGTTCTGCAGCTGTTATCAAACCAAACAGCCCCGAAGAGAAAAGAAAGAACTGCAGCACGTCAGCTCAGTTTCACACTGAGGCTGGAAAACATCGAGGAAATTGCAACCAATCAAGTTTCTCTAGACTGAAACAACCCCCACATCATGCCTGTTGTGTCTGTGGGATAGAATACCGCTGGAGCCTTTAAATATAATGAGTTTCAGCAATTTCTTACAGAGCTGACCTGCCTGTTATTCTTGTCGTTCGATAAATGCTGCAATTCTGAGATACG